CTGAGGCCTGTGGAGGCAGCTGAAAGAAGACTGCTTCCTGCCTTCTGCATTATTATATTACACTGGTGGATAAAAAGAATGCCACGTCCTCTAAAGACATTACAGCCTATAGTAAGTCTGGCTCGGAGGGCAACGCGGCTCCTTAACCCTGCTCAGCACATGGCTGGATGTGCATGGGCTGATCAGGCTCGTTTGTGTGCGCGTGTATGTGTGTGTGTGAATGCAGTGCACACACACTCGCCAAACTAAAGTGGCACATCACTTAATCCCTCCCCAGTAACTAGGATAAGCCACCAGTCTTATCTTTGCTATTCCCCGTCGTTCTTTCCTTCACTCTTTCTTTCAGAAAACTATTGTTATCCACACACACACCCCTCCCTCTCTCATTGGCATTATTAGCATCCTCAGCCCCAGACTTTAATGACTCATTATTCTGTGTTTAGGGTCTGGAATCTCCTCTTGGGCTGGCGGTAGGGGCTAACATGGATTCTGCATTTCGTCGGTTCTTTATTGTCGGGCATGCTTGAAGGATTTGAGAGAAGCTTTCCGGGAGAAAAAGGATTTTGCTGCCATCAACATGCTGCTGGCTCCTGGGAACGTGCGATATTTGGATATTATGTCAGAAAGTGTCACTACGTTTATCCATGGCAATGGAGCAATAGGTTTAGGAGTATCTCAGGTTACGTTGATTTGCAGGGGCTGTACAAGTGCGGTTTGTTTGAAAAGTTTAAGGGGTTTAAGGGGCCGTCGAGAAAATGTAATGTAACCCAGTAGGCGTCAATTTCAAATCAAATCCGCTTTGCTTGCAACAGAAAAAGTGCCTCGTGAAAGAAAAGAATAATTCAGGTGACTTGCCCCTAAATGTTTTTAGAACAGTTCTGACAAGCTCGCTGTTACAAAGGTGATTGTTAACTAACTAAATTCACACATGGGCCAACTATTCAAATTGATAACATCATTCAAATATGCACTTTAGTCTTAATTGTATGTCATTTCATGCATTTCCCCTCAAACGTAATCTTTTTTTTTTCCCCTTTGATTGTTTGGGTCAATGTCCTCTGTCATTCATTTCCCTAGTTTTTCCTGTAACATCATTACCTTAAATAGCATCAAAATGAATGAGGAACGAAGAAGACGATGAGGGCACATAGAGAACTCAAATATTATTATTCCATTTTGATATTAACATCCAATTGCCAACCTTTCTGAATGTTGTGTTTATTTTTTACTTTAAGATACAGTTGGTTTGGTTTGCACTCCAAGCCGAGGTGAAGAGCCTGACATCATTTTAAGGGTCAAGATGTGGTGAAAAGTATAATCGGATACAACAACTTTTTTGTCTTTTCTTTGCATAAAAAGGGGACAAAGCTAATTGACAGGCTAATTTACCGTCACCTTAAGATGGTTGAGGCAGTTACATTTATTTCTCCTTCTTCACACTCAATCACTCATGCACTCACATACAAACATAGAGTCGTAGAATGACAGGGGACTGTTTGTATGATGATCCCCTCTTCCTAGATTGACCGGGTGCTATCGGCTGTGTGAGACAAATTGAGAAGAGGCCGTGTCTATCATAGATAGATAGATAGATAGATAGAACTTTATCAAACCCCAAGCGGGAATTTGTGTGCAATAGCAGCGGTACAGTTAATACAGTGAGAATGAAAAATGCACAATATATACAGTAAATAAAATAAAATAGTAGAGCAAACATTAAGTTAAGTGAAAAAGGTATTTACAGTGTAATATGTATTAAATTAAATTAGAAAATTAAGTTAAGACAGTAGTGTTGTAGTTCAAGTAAGTTCAAGTAAACAAGGATTTAGCCAGAGGTATTATGTTGTGTTCTGTTGTAAAGTCTTATTGCCGTTGGCAGGAATGTTTTCCCGTATCTGTCCTTGTGACAGTGGAGCTGGATCAGCCTGTTGGAGAAGGTGCTCCGCTGGCCCAGCAGTTGGTGAAGAGGGTGGTCCGGGTTGTCCAATATGGACAACAGTTTCTTCAGTGTCCTCCTCTCCACCACCTGTTCAGGATGCTCTTGCTCATGCATCCTCCCATAGACTTCCTGTCAACAAAAGCTTTCCTTTCCTTCACCGGGACCTTGTCGCTTTGACCGAAACAGAGTAACATGAGTTTCTATTTGCAGACGGCACGATTGAAATTGTATTGGTGAAATGATGTGCTACGAATTGGAACAGCATGATTTTAATACATCAAATCATTTTCCCCTTTCAACCCTGCTGTTTTATTTTTTCGCTTGTTTGTGATTAATATTCCCGAAAGAAACCTTTGTTGAAAACATGTGCTGTTCCTCGTTTTTAACAGACAATTTCCTTCCTCACTTAGTGTGATTTTACCCTAAACTTCTAATCATCTGCCTTTCCTTTGGCTATCCATCACTCTCCAGAAAGCACTGTGATCAATTGAACTCTGATGGGCATGTTGGCTGTATCCATCAAACACGCCTATTTATGACAGCCATTGGAAATTAATATTTAGCTGCTTTCGGTGCACAACTTTGTGGATGCTATGTGAGCGCTTGCATTCCTCTGAGGGCAGGAAGTGTGTGTGTGTGTGTGTGTGTGTGTGTGTGTGTGTGTGTGTGGGGATAAGTGACAGGGTTAAGGACCTCTGATGATGCCCTCCATCTCTTTACCTGTCTACCATGTGAGACGCTGCCCAGTGCTAACAGGGAAACTGAATGCCAATCAGCAGTGGCCTGCAGGTCATGTGTGGTCAACATTAGTTAGAAGAGCGGGGTGAGAAGCTGTAGCGTGGACTTTGTAATGTTTTAATGAGCCATCCGTGGGTGTGTACCTGGTTATTAGACTTGTGGTCCGTAGTTGCCGGGGGTGCCAGAGGAAACGGGAAACCGTTTTGGACACGTGCGTGTGGAGAAATGGAGAGTTTTTTGTCTGCCGAAGACCAGACGAGAGCTCAGTTCTACCCATAGATGGCGGCATTACACTCAGAGTGCTCCTCCCCAGTGTCACACCCCTCTTACATGGCTTTCAGTGCAGCACAACAGAGATTTTCCCCGTGACACTGTTGATCCCTAAAGGGGAATTTTCTTTTCACACCCTGCGGAGGTCAACGCAGGCTGCAGTGTCCTGGAACTGTGGTGCTCTCATTTTCCTTCTCTAGGACACACGGGCCGGCCAAGTTCCCCTCTGTCATTGGGCTGCTTAGTGGATCACGTCACATTTGGAACGATTTTTGAATGCATGACCAGTCACTTTATAACACAATGAGCGTAAAAACTAATTCCCATTACAAATCAATATATTTTCATGGTGAATCAGAGGGCAGTCATTGTGCCACCCGGCCCCAGTGTCACGCATTGGAGCGTCACTCCCATCACTTTTAAGTTAAACAAAAAAATAAACTTGTAAGGGTTAAACAAAAAAGATCATTTATTCTGGTAAGATATTTTGTTCATGTTGGACTGGACCAGGCCAGATGTTTCCAGGTGTTTCCAGTTTAGCCTGGTGCTCCAACTACATATTTACCGGACAGAATGGAAAGTGTTTTTCAATCTAACTCTCGGCGGGAAAGCAAATATCAATCTGAGCATTCTTGAGCATCAGACCACACCTTTAAAACCAGAGGACCGGCTTATGGGCTCCCACTCCGCCACGCAGCCGTTATAAACTGGGTCACACGATCTGTTGTGCAGATGCTCCTACGTTCTGTTTACCATCACGAGCCATGAAATTGATTCTTTTTATCTGTGTGTTAGTAAGCGTTTTCATGGTGTGAAACAGGTTGCTCTCCCTCTTTCCTTCCATGCCCCCGCCATACAGTACCTGGTATGTCTGTGTTGTGTGCGATTTACTCATTTCATGGTTGATTTGTTGCCTCACGAGCTCTGTTAATAAACAAGAGCCTTTGTTGCCGCTGCCTCTCTGACACCTCTCCGCCTCGGCTGTCAGGCGACTTGTCTTGGATGAGGTGAGGCGTCATGCTCATCAGCAACCTGCCGTTGTATCGATTGGGAAAAAATAAATACTGTTTAACTCATTACCAACTTCAACGTCACCTCTGAAGGGATTACAGCTTCCACTGCCAAATCAGCAAATCTATTATCTTGTTGTATGACAGTGGATTTGCAAATTAAAAGATTCTGACTTGAATTTTTAATACAACTAATATAAATTTCCTGGCTGCGTTGTCCCTGTACATGTGTCGTCTATCTGAAGAAAGTATTACATGAGAATTCCTCAACGGCATTCAGAATACAGTTGTGGTGAGAGAAAGCAGTGCTGAGCGTGCGCTAAGCAAGGTACATTCTTCCATTCATCCTCCCCTCTCCTCCCCTCCCCTCTCCTCTCCTCTCCTTGGGTTTTATGTATTTCAAGAGCATCTGCAAGGCTGACACAGTCTACAAAATTCTTCTCTTTCATTGCAAGCTTGTGACAAGCTTTAAGGGAAGACGTACAAAAGAACAGCATAAATATGACTATAATAATAGCCACGATGATTCTGAGGGTATAGGTTTTTTCCGATATGTTCAATAAAGAAAAGCAGACAAATTCATAATGATGAAGAGGATATCACAGTAATTCATATTATTTTCACTTCATGCCACACTCTCCATTAAAAAGCAGTTTCCTCGGAGCCTAACATTGAATATTGTATTTATTTCTTCCTCTCAGACAGCATGAAGGAGTGTTTATATGTTGTGTTATTAAAAGGGAGCGGGCTGAGACAGTGACTAATCTATTTCCTTTCAAACACAGGAGCCAGTAATCACTGTTCTATGGAGCTGCTCACTCAACCATCCATAATGTTATCAAGACACATTATCTATCTGAGTGTGTGTTTGTGTGTGTGTGTGTGTGTGTTTATAAGCCCCTATGTGTGTCCATGCACTGGTGTGATTCTTAGGGGGTTTGAACGAAGGTGTTGATAATGCTGTTCTGTTGGCATTTTGCTGTGTGCTGGAGTGCGTGTTTGTTTTTTCATGCTTTAATGTCAGTGCTCTGTCCGCGCTGCAGAGCCAAATGCAACCCGTTCTCCCTGCGGCCCGGGGCTCCATCTCACATTGTCATCAGGAGGAGGTCACACTCTAATGTGTGAACATCGGCCCCTCTGCCTGGTCCTGAAAGGCAGATGAAACTTTCTGCTTGGACAAGGCCACAAAGATTTGCCCGGCGGACTTTTTTTACAAGGTAAAATCTATCATGGGTTACTGTGCTGCCACCAAGGTCTCCGGATTATTTACCGGCGGGGCTTTAGATATTGTGCATTTGTAAAAATATTAGTGCAAATACGGGTGAAGCACTCGTGGTTTGGATTGAAGGCTATAAGACATAGCTGCATCGGAGTGCAGAAGGGATGAAGGTCACGAACGACGAGAGGGTCTTCACAAAGCGAGGCCACCTGACGTTGTAAATCAGCTGCTTCAGAGTCAGTGTCTCATCTGGTGCGCGGGTCCAGATGCTTGAGTGAATACAACTGCTGCACATCGATGTCAGTGACGGGCAAGCTTTCACCTGGCTGCTTCCTAGAATGTCAAGATGTTGCTAATGGAGGCCTTTTTCGACATCAATGGTCTTTTTATGGACCATATTCATGCTGTGGGCAACATTAACCACGTGATCGCATTATGCACCTTTGGGAAAGAAAGGAACCACAGTTTTGACTTCACTGTGCGTTCTCAGTAATGTGCTCCATTCACTGTAGGTGTTAAGTGTGGTGGTGGGGCAGTGATCCTTGTGAGAGTGTCAGGACCCTGACCTCGACCCAGCTCAGTTTCGCTGCCTGTCTGCCTGCTGGCAGCTGCAACCGTCGTCACCCTTTATAGATAGTATGCCAACAACGTCACAGGATGAACTCACATTTTGACCTCTCTTCATGTGTACAAGTTGCACAGCACAGTAAACCGCTACCGCTGAATTTCTCCTGTTTTGTGATTTGCTGCACTGTACTGACGTGGTTGGAGAGAATTCATTAACTGTGAGCCGAGACGTGCATGTCAGCTGACGTAAGACTTTCATTGCAACTCTTTTTTCTGTGCAATTCAGCATTTCCATTTAAATCAATTTGTTTATACAAAAAACACATTACATGTTAAAAGGATGCAGCACAGTGTCATGTTATGAAATTGACAGTGATTAGCAAAATTGCCTGTAGTTTATTGCAGTCACCGCAGTTGAATAGGATTAATTCACTCATCAATTCTGAACTAATTAAATGTTTGATGAATGGTGTGTAAGTGTCAGCCTAATCCATAAATAAGTATTTAAAGCTTATTTCTAACCCAAAGTCACAGCAGCAGCAGGTAGGTCTTAGATAAGGTGGGGAAGTATTTGGGGCAATAGTGAGTCATGTACTGGTTCTCCTGCAGCTCCTCACTTTATATCGGAAAGCAGCCTGTGCCCCTTGACTCATTCCCCTCACCGGGGGGAGTCCTTTCTGTCAGACTCCAGGGGAAAATGACCTGTGAGTAAAGCAGGCATTTTGGGGAACGGTTATTTATTGAACTGGTAGAGAAGAGGCTTTATGTTTCACTGGTCCAGCAACAAACAAACATGAGATGCACATAAATCCAAAGGTTCACGTTGGACTTTAATGAAAAGAGTAGCAGGATAACTTCAAATGCAGCAAAAAAATGTTTTTACTGCGGATTCAAGAGAAAGTTTTCTATTCCTCATCCTGCTCTTAGCACTCTTACTCCATGACTCACAGGAGGAGGAGCTTTCTGCTGGTACTCTCTACTCAGTATAACTGTTACTCTGGTGTCCGTAATATGTGTTTACCAGCCCTTATTTAATTAAACTTCATCTTGTTGCTATCCAAGGAAAACTGTATTAGCAAACCTTTCAGGAGCGGGAAATGGTTTCTAAATTACATTCGGCAAAGGGAGATAGCTTTGTACAATTATTCTGAATTACTGCTCACTTTGGCAATTTCACATGAAAACCAGAAGATACTACTTAACAACATTTGCAGTTGTGTTTCTGGTCAACTGGCAAATGTTAGTCAAATATTTCAATCTCTTTTAGCTCAGTTTTGGTCTCGACCTGTGTGAAATATTTGGAACTTTGGCAGCAATTTCCACAGATGTGTTAACATCAAAAGAGATGTCGCTCGAAGACAGAAATTGAAAACATTTCTCCTCAGAGTGTCTTTTTTGGTTCTTGCTCTAGAGGGTTGAACCTACCGAACAAAGAAACCCTGAGATGCCTCGAGAGCATTTAATAAAACCGTTCTTTGAGAAACACAAACGCATCCCTGCCCAGGCCAGCGGCCCAGCTGATCTGATGCTTAGCGACATGACCTTCATGTCTTGCCCAGCGCCATGGAAAGCCCCCCGGGTGCTCTTTCTCCCTCTCACTTCCCCCCACCGTGCTGCCTGTTTGGGGCTCTTTCTACTCTGGCCTAGTACCTACTGTCACTTGCTATTGGGAGACAGCACGGGCACAGCTACCGCTCAGCACACAGGTGCAGCCGAGCATGATTAAGACACGCAAAATCATATCAACCGTGCACACAAATGACAAGTACAGATAATCAAACACACACACACACACAGGATCTGAGAATATCTAGGACACAGGTTGGAGGAGCAGGTACAGAAATGTGATGTTGGTCGTTTTGTTTTTTATCGTGTGACAAATGAAAGCTCTGTAAAGGGATTATGTTGTCTTGTTTGTAGTGATTTTAATGTTGTGATCATCTCTTTAAACGTACTGTTGCTGATGTAACTCACCAGGACATGAGGAATGCACTAAAGGACCTGCCACACCCTGACTTCTCGTAGTTGGTAGTGGTCGTCATGATCATTGTCTATACGGTTGTAATTAAGCAGCCAGCTGTTCTGTACTGCCCACTTACGATCCTGAAGACACTCATTCCGACAGCGAACATTATAATTCATGAGGTGGATGCTGGTCTCCCCCTCTAACACACACACACACACACACACACACACACACACACCATATTTAACCTTTGGTGCAGTGAGATCTCTACTCCCTTCATCTCAGTGTATAGGCACAGATACACAGACAGCCCCCGCGGCCCTCCTGCTTTATTGCTGCCTCACCGTGTAAACTATGTAAAAGACTATGTAAAAGTTGAATCTCTCGAGCTATTAACTTTGGACCTGATACATTTTGTCATATTTTCTCCACTGCGGTGTTCATAAAAAAAAGAGATTAGATGCAAATTCTCATGTTGAATTGCTATAATCAGAATATAATGTCAAACTTAAGCTAAAGTAAGATGGTGACTAAGACAAAAAACATCAGCACGTTAGCATTGTTGGCGTGCTTATGTTAGCATTTAACTCAAAGATCGGCCCAGCCTGACAGCGTGGCCACGGACTACTCGTGTTGCCATGAATCCCTGAAAAGAAAAGGCTGCATTGCTGGAAGTCCTTTACTGTGAAACCGCTGCGGACATGCGACAAATACAGATGTGTCATGATGGCCCAGAATGCTAACTTGTGCTTGATTTAATATATTCCGTATATATTCTTTCTGAAAGCCTAGTTGTGTGTCTACCTAACAGAATATCTGTCAATGCATGCTTGACATGCTTTAAAACAGCCCAGTTTTTTGAGCTGAAAATAAGATAAAAGCGACTCATATTACACAAACTAACTTTAAGTCTTGACGCAAGAACTATCTAGTTTTTTAACATCTGTGGCAGATCGAGCCTGGTCGAGTTGCCACTGAAGAGGGAAGAGTTATACACCATGTAGCTGTAATCCAGTCAACCCTGAGAGCATCATATGGGCCACAAAGACTATAATTATAATCTGTTCCGTCCGTATAAATAAATGCAGCCTCAGATGTAGAAGCCATCACTGGCATGTGAGGTTTACAAGGACACGAACATGTTTGCACGTCAACTGTGACAAAAAACACCCACAAAACAACCGTTCTATTCAAATGGGAAACTGGAATGTTACACTGCCGGAAAGGAAAAGTCTGAGTTTTAGAGGGTTGTGTTTGTGTGTGTATTGGCAGGGTGTGTGCGTTTGAGAAGTGAAAATGCACTTTGGTCCACGGGCTTATTAATGCATGTGTCTCCCAGTGACACATCCGTCTGGGGGAATGTCCAGGTCAGAGTCTCTGTTTTTCTATGAGGGTTAGACAAACGTGTTCGCATCAGTGTCTGTTTTCCCTCTTGGTTTAGGCTCTGAGGTTTTAATTTGACAAAATCCTCTGTCTAAAAAATTGTAATTGTTCCACAGCTGTGTTCAAATGTTGTTATTTTAATCCGTCCTTTGCAGTGAGAATTAGGCCTGAGGGAACGAATTCCCTGGGTTTGTGCCGTGCTGGAATAGATAGCTGGATAAAGTCTGCTATCCAATCTGACCTCAAACAACCCAGTACATTGTGTGTGTTGTTCTTACATGTTCACACGCACACAAAGTTGACTGAAGACATGGTTAACAAAAAAAAAAAGAAAAAAACATTGGCCACTTCTTCTGGACATTGAGTCCACGGAAGTGCTAGACATCGCCTGCGGGCTCAAGAAGTCCTGGGTGTTTTTTGTGTCTTTTATATGTGTGTGGGTGTCTTTGAAGGAAGACTTTGTACTGTGAGAAAGAATGTATGGACGACAATGTGCGTTTAAGGGAAAATTGTCTTTCCCTTTATTGTTATCAGGTATTGTATTATTAACTTATTACCAATATGTGTTCCACTACCATATTTATTCTCTGTATATTGTTAACATGTAATCATATTTTGCATAGTTCTGTACAAATGTAGATATTCTATTTGAGAGGGTCTGAATTTTATAAGCAGTCAAGTACGTTTGTTAGATTGCTTGCATGGATGCCGTAAGTTCATTAACAAAAGTAAGGTAAAAGACGTCTGCATTGACGGTTCTCTTCACACAAACCGTCCTCCGTTATGTGTTTATTTGACTTATCTATCCACCACACCCTCGTCGTTACACACACTTACTTGCTGTCACCTGAGGCAGCCCCACAACCCCACGCCCACAATTAAATGGGCAGCATACGAGTTATACTTACTTATTGTAGGCAAAAGCAAAAAGAAATTAGTGCATGTAAACACGGATAGTAACCAACATTTTGTGTATGTTCTGCACGGTTCCACCCCCCAAAAAGGTGATTTGAATAATATGGTTTGTGGGTGTTTTTTACAATGGACAACAAAGACAGACTGTGTGCAAAGTCAACATTTAGCGCCAATGCAGGAATCTATTCACTGTGCAAATAAGTAACTTTTCAATGACCACGACGCATCCCAGGTCGAGGTAAACAATGCTCATGTATGGGCTTCACCTATTTTTGTTCCACGGCTCTGCAGAATTATCGAAATAAGACCATTCTGTCTGGTGATACGTGTCTTTAACTGCACTTCTATGGAACCCTGCTTATGTAAAGTCACATAAAGCAGTACAACACGTACAGCGCAATATCACATCTATAATTGGCTGTGAAAATATCAGTTTCTCCAGGCCCTCTCTCAAGACAGAGCACAGGTGCACTCATATCCAAGACATTTCCCTCTCTAATATCTACATCTGCATCTTTTTCTGCCCTGCCTGCCCTCTCTCATCGCTCCAGTCTCTCGCTGCAGTGTCCAGGTGGGACGGTGGCGCATCGGCTGAAGCAGGCGTCTTCTTAGCCGAGCGCTAGCAGGAGGCCTGTGTTCCTGTGGGCGCCAGATGCTGCTGAGTCATCGTGTACAAGCTGAACAGTACGAGTCTTCAGCCCGAGACGCACAAGAAGCAAAGAAGTACACCCGCGCACATTCACGACGACGTCTGATTTGCTGGATTCTAATAAGAGTTTTACCGTGGAGGAGCTTCAGGTTCAGTGTGTGTGTGTATGTGTGTGGGGGGGGGGTGGGTGGTCTGAGGCACATAAAGGAATATTTTACATGTAACTGCTGCAGCCACACTCCAGCTCCCTCCGTCCGCTGTGCAGTTTGTTGAAACAGCAGCATGAGACCACAGTCGCTGACGGATGCTTTCTCCACCCTATCAGCTTCCTCCTTAGTCCGCGGCGCCTGATCACACCTACACTGAGTTTAAAACATTCTGGACAGTAATGGATCGCCGCGCTGAAAGACCAATTACCGTCGCCATCCATCAAAACCTCCCCTTCTTTTTTTTTTTTTCACACGGCAACCGCGCATGTTTTTATGAAGTTTAAGAAATTCACTTGCAAATTGGCTTCACTTTGATGATGATAATAACAATGATGTCGGTGTGGTGCATCCACATGTTGTACCCCACGCACACCGTATGCGTGTTTTTATCCTTTCAAATGTGGGACGCCGTGTCTGGTAGAGAAACTAAAACGGTTGTGCGCCAAGCAGAGAAGGAATTGCCGCACAGAAGGAGTAATATAAAGAAAGCGAGCAAGTGAGAGTAACAGTAAACAGGCGAATGATCGATGAGCGCCTGACGTGACTCAGCTCTCGGGTGTCGGCCAGCATTTCCATGACCAGCGAGCCGCCTACGCGACGAAGACAAACGACCCGGCAATGAGGGAAAATGAGGGTTTTATCACCCGTTTCCCTCTCACACCGTTGCTGGCCGACGCTCCCCAAACTGCTTGTGTGTGTGTGTGTGTGTGTGTGTGTGTGTGTGTGTGTGTGTGTGTGTGTGTGAAGTTAACCAAATGTGTGTCCCGTCTTCCTGAAAGGCTGGCTTGTGGTCATGCGCTGGCCCGAGGGAGCAGTTTAGAGAAATCACTCACTCAGCTGGAGACTTGTGGAGAAATGCCTAAAGGTCTTAAACAGCTGTACGTTACCTGGGATCCTATGCGCGTATATATATGTGTGTGTGTGTGTGTCTGTGTGTGTGTGCAAGGGAGTGTGTTTAAAAGGACATTTATCTCATCACGGATATAATTACACTGCCCCGGGATAGAGGGGAGTTATACAGTTCTCCCTCCTCTCTCTCTCGAGCCCCTCTATCCCTCCCTTTCACCCTCACTCTTCCTCTCGTACCTTCCCTTCATTATCCAGGCAAGGAAAGACGATCCGCCTCCACCTTCTTCGGAAGTCATTATGGGATTAGCTCATTCCCAGAGTATGGATCTCTTTCCTTGGAGGCCTTGGAGGGGGCTCCCCTGTTCCTCGCTTCCCCAGACCCGGCTTACTCCAGCCGGGGTAATCAACCAGCAGCACCCCTTCCTCCGGCCAGGAGCTCCGCCTCGGGGGAAATCACTTCTCGCCTCACTTCATCCAAAGTTTAAACCGTCCCCACATTATACCAAATCCTTCTAGAGGGTTAATATAGTGAAAGGAGGTTTGTAAAAAAAAAAGACAAGCATTGGTGTTTTTATTTTAACATTGAGCAAGCGAGCGCTGCTGTAATAACGCCGTCGTCGCAGACCTGACAGGAACCGTCGCCTGGAGGGGGCAGTGTAAAATCATCACTTCCTGTTTGTGAATCCCAAGGCGCCATTGGGCTGTTGGGTAATGACACCTGCCAACATGGCAACAACTCTCACTTACTCCGAGGGCAAGATTAAGAGTTGAAAGCGAACCAGTTTGTTCAGGAGGGAGAGGTTGATTGAAGAGGCTTTGGAGGGTTTATAACGCTCCTCGCCTCAACCGACACATGCAGCACAACGGCGACTGTAGATGTCACAGCCTGGACGAACTAAAAGAAGGCGCTGCAGGTTTTTGAATCTGTTGTGTCGGACAATGTGTCTTTTGATGGACTATTTGAAGAATTTCTCAGGCCACCAGGCAACACTTGAGCGTGCGGTGTAGAGAAATCCCGTTCAGTGGGCCCTTTCCATTCTCTTCTGTCCACACAATTGTGCATCTGTCTTCAGCCTTGCTCTGGGGCATAACAACCATGTGTTGGTGCCACACACATGCACGCACACACACACACAGACACTCACGCACTCCCATACACACAGCGTTATCTTCAGAGTCACAAGTTCGGGTTTTTCTAACTTGGGCCATGTGGCAGCCTCCTGTTACAAAGAAGCCACACATATTTTCGGGGCAGGCCGGACATTTATCCAGCATAATGTGATTGTGCTGACATGACCTCGCTCTCAGAGGCGACGGGTCATTGTGGGCCACATGGTTTGGGGTCGGCCCTGTTTTACTCACAGCGGGGCTGCCTCTCTGTTCACATGTCGGCCGTCAGGAGAGCCACGCAGGTCACCAGGGACGACTCCTGGTTTAAGTGCTGCTGCTTCTGCTTTCTTCCCCCTTGTTAGTTTTGTGTCTTTACGTCACTGCCCTGTACTTTATCTGAAAATCCGTATGGATAACACTGCCTTTAAAGCCACCATTCAGATTAGCATCAAATGGTGAAATGAGTCTGAGGTCATACTGTTTTGTTTAAAGGCAAATGTATAGTGAAAACCTGCCATTATGTACCTTTCTTTCTCAGTGGGACCACATTTTAAACAAACTCCTGACATAACATCACCGTTTTAGTTATAAATAACATATTCTCACATAACAAGTCATCTCCTCGGTGTTACAAAAGGTCAAGCTTGTGATGCAGCCACAGAGTCTGTGCAAAACATAAAGAAGGATTCATTAAAGGATATTTAAATAAAGTACTGTATTCAAGTTGAAAAACAAAATGTCAGCATGTTATCCAATTGAATTACCCATGTGTAATATCATCAACAGCATTAAACAAACTGACTGACCTTCATCAAACCTAATCTCAACAAAATGCACCACTTTGTCTCCTACAAAATGTCCTCCCGATCAGCTCTCAATGTCGATTACAATTTGTCATCCATCAAAAACAAACATAATCTGGGAGGAAATGCGTTTTAATTTTAACTTACATATTATCGTTTCACCTTTCTCTATCGGACCCTTCACTACCTTTCCCGTCCCCATCTCTCTCTTTGCTCTCTTCCCTGTTATCCCCTCTCCCCCCAGCCCCTTTCTCACAGATCTCCAGAGATACAGCTCATTCTGACCGAGTGTTACGACTCTTTTGACCACAAATGTCTCACGAGTGACAGCCTGTGAGAGGAGAAAATTCAAGTGAGATTGCTGTTTAAGATTGGCCATGGGAGACAGAGGAGCCAATCTGTGCTGGCACAGAGTTTAAATATTCCACCTAGATTTAGCCGCTGTGACACAGCTGCGAGACGAGAAGCAACACTCAACCACAAAAGCAATTTCCTACAGCGGAGATGTCTCTGTTGAGGAGCAGACACAGACTTTTGGCTTAACTGCTGGTTGAGGGAGTAGGAATATGTCGCTCTCAAAGGCGTACGCGCTCCAGCACCAGACACGCGAGGCCCATCCCGCAGCCTGTGCATTGTCGTTGTTTACCGGAGAGACCGAGAGATCACTGGATCACTCCACCTTTCAGTCGCTCCTCCTCCTCTTCACCCCCCTCCGCTGCGCTCTCCTTTCCTCTGCTCGCCGCTGTGGTGGGTTCAGTTCTTGACAAGGCCCCACATCCTGCTAGTTGCTAAATGAATAATACATGCATGTTCTAGCAGCTCTGGTAGACGGAGGGTGAGAGAGAGAGCGAGAGAGAGAGAGAGGAAGGGAGCCGATGAGAGATGCTGTGTGTGTTGGTGTGTGTGTGTGTGTGTGTTGAGGCCCCTTATGGAAAGGCCAAAGCTGTCACAGAACTTTAGATCCAGTCTATATGCGGCGTGTACAAGATGAGATGTCTGCATTCGACACTCTTCTGACTAATCCTCTCCTCTTTCTCTTAGTTCTCCAGCAGAGATGGAAACTAGAGTTGTTGGTGCAATTTATATATAACAATCGAATAGAGGATGAATGATTGGAAACGTAGTTCCAGTTCGATTCGATTTTCAACACTGTGTGTGTGTGTGTGTGTGTGTGTGTGTGTGTGTGTGTGTGTGTGTGTGTGCGTAAGCAACATAGCAGTCTCACCATTTATTCAAAGCCCCACTAGTTCCCTTTAACCCAGCAGAACGAGGGCTGCCCTACATTTTATCAGCTGCTCTCGTTCCGTTTTGACGCAGATCAAAGCCGCGTGCCAGCCGCCAGCGGAGCACGCATGCATTATCAATCACGTCTGTGGCTTTTTGTTGTACAGAAAGAAATTTGCAGAACACAGATCAAAAGAATAAAGGTCATCAAAGGCAAAATCATTTTCCGGATGCAGGGTAGTAGTTCTACACATACACAAAGGCAAGGGACACAAACAAATCCAAAAGATATTCGCTGCAGTACGCGTAGTTCTGGGTGTGTGTGCACGATAAATAAATAAATAAGAATGAACAATGACATTTTGTGCAACTTGTCCTCTTTGACATGTTCAACGATATGTTTTAAACTTCAGGGAGCGTGTTATTTCTCCTCCTGATCTCTCTGTCTCTCCTTTGTAAAGACAAGAGATTTGTGGTGTAACCATGGTGCGTTTTCTCAAATGCAACACAGTCAAATGATTCACCTCTCGCTCTGAACTGTTTCTATTCGGGGCAAAACTAGGAAGTGTACAGGAGCAGGAGAGGCCAATTTTTTTTTATACTTCATCTGCAAAGTGAGTTTTTGGGGGGTGCCACGACGCCGACAGGTAGCCCGGGAATTCTGTCGACCCAGCTTCTGCAGCAGACACGCACAACATGCGCAGGTGCCTCTGAGTCTCTATGAGAACAACTCTGCCGTTGGCAGCGCCTTTAACCTCCACATTCACTGCACATGATCCACCACAGATGTATGACTGCTGTTTTCTCACTGTCACCAACCCCCCAACACACACACACACACACACACACACACACACACACACACACACACACCAGCCACGGACACGACACTCTGAGAGTTCACTCCAATCAGTTGGACACATCAGTAACACAAACGCACAATAGTTTTCCATATGCACCGTGTCAATGTGGCGAGTTTATGTCAGCATCACGCTGCATATAAACAGTTGCTGCTGCTAACTGCTGACTACATCAAACTGGATGATGCTGTAGGAGTTATTGGAAAGGTTTTAGTAGATCTAGCTTTGGTTGAGATGGGTCATCACTTGAAATCATTGTAACAGTTTGAAGCAGAGCAAGCAGCTGTTCAAGCGCTACACTTTTTAAAGCTTTCAGGAGGTGAGTATTTGATCTAGTGATATTTCTTCTGCTCTCCCTGTCTGTCTAAATCAGCCATTGGATGTTCAATATCGTGTCTGCCTTTGAAGTTATCAGCGTGCATTTAACATGCCAGCAATTCAGCCAGAGGGATAAACAGTCATTCAACTCGCGGATGAGTTTCAGACTGCAACATTTACACACTCCTTGGGAAAAATCAAAACACTCTAATTCTGTTGTTTGAAGTCGCTGTTTTTCCCCTGCACCGATGGTGAAAAGAGGCAGTGTGAGCCATGTGTCGTAAAAAGACACTGTGTGTGAAACCTGTGTGCGTGCTCCTAAAACAAAATGTGTCAATGTCAGTGTGTGTCTTAAAATGGATGATGTCTGTGATGAGTTGAAAGGGTGTGAATTTACATTTGACAATTTCCAGTGTGGCTGGATACTGCTGTATTTGTGCAAGAAGCACGAGAAAAACAAAAAAGATTTGGCATTTGGATACGATGAAGGAACTCAGGCCTTTTTGTGGGTTTCAGACCCAGAACTACAGTCTTCATGTTCAGCCAGCAAGCCAATGGTGCAAACAAATGTACGACTTTATTTGTGTATGAACCGGACAAACTTTGTTTCCATAGCAACTGTACTGAAAGCACAAAGTGGACTCTGTGTGTGTATCCACGTTTGTTATGGCTGCCATGGGACATTGTCCCTCTGTGTGATGTAAGCTCACTAAAAACTCAAAGGGTCAATTCAACTAAATTTCGGCTTTCACAGTTGACAGTCTTTGGGTTTATAAGCAAATCCTAAAAAATAGCACATCAAATCAAAGCATCCACATAGATCTCTACCACTCAAGAAAATGTCAACTGTGATTTGTATGAACTGGCATTCTTTGTTGAATTATGAGCACACATGAGCCAAGCAAAGCTTTTCACCAACGTGTATGAATGTGTTTTTGGGTGTATGAGTATTTGCTGTGACCCTAAATAGGAGTTTAAAAGTATTAGACAACAGGAAGACAGAGAAGCTTTCCTTTTATGAACAAGAGGGCACACAAGCTTAGAGCTATAGAGCGGATGCCGCGGCACAACCAAGCGCGTTCCAGCAGCTCAGCACCAACGCAAACAGTATGACCCAGTAGCATGCGAAGGCACACTGCCGCACGACAACCCTCTCTGCCATTAAATATGCTTCAGCACCAAGGAAGAGAGTGGCTGTCTCCTCCCTTCTACTCTCTCTTCCCCGTCTGTGTGATTGCATCTACACCGTTGTTTGGTTTTTGTTCACACACACACACACAAGCATTCTGTAATTGACCTTCCCCGTCCCAAGTGTCTCTTAATCGCTTGTTCTCTCTCCTCTCTTTCGAACTCCCTCCCTCTCTCTCCCTCTCTCACTTTCTCTCTCGCCTCCTCTGCGTGAGGATCCATTGAGGATTCACAAGAATAGAGTTGCCGACTGGATTAAGCAACACAATGTCTGATGGAAGGGGTGCAGTCAGGAGAAATCAATGGGCTGATGTGATTTCCTAAGCCGCTAAACATCCTTTGACACGTCGACCAATTAGCTCTGTCAAACAGGGATATCTTTACTCCCTGTACAAGGTCATTAGATAAGTACGTCCACGGCGCTGGAGATTTCTACACACGTATCAGAGTGTGTGTGTGTGTGTGTGTGTGTGTGTGTGTGTGTGTGTGTGTGTGTGTGTACGCATATAAGACAAAGGGAGGTGCGAGATGGAAACATTGAACAATTGAGCTCAGCGTAGTTCTTTTGTCTTGATCACCTGTCTGCATTGCTTAATAACATTTGGGTCTGCACAATTTGCAGATTGTCACACTCATTGCTTTTGCATTCGGTTTAGAGAAATGAATCGTAAAGCAATTTTGCCATCATTTCTGTTTCACACGATGAAAAATGCTACGTACACCATTCAATTCACCCGCTGCTTTTCGTTTCTCTGCTGTCACAAAACAAGAAGAAAAATGATTGACGGAATAGCGTTTACATTTTTTCATTCATTTAGCTGATGCTTTTATCCAAAACGACTTGCAAAAGTGCATTCAACCGAGATTGTCTTACGTGCGGTGAATAAAACGCCTTTTAGTTCCAAACAAAAGCTCACATCTATAACTCTTTGTTCTGCAGTTGGGAGGGGAAAGGATGTGCTTATTGTTTATACATTTATCTTGGTTTCTCAGTTGCTTTGGTACATTTCTCGAATCATCCTCGACATTTGCAAAACAGCACGTGCATTTCTCAAAACAATTCGTACCAATAGCAAAACCATGGATTACCTGCAAAAATCTGTCTCTTGCTCAAAATCCTTCTCTGAAAAGTAAATATATATAATGTCACTGAACATGTCAGTCCATCAGAATAACAAGTCCTTGTGTCATTGTGTACGGACCAGACAGTCAAATTGCTTACTCGTGTTGTCAGTTTAACAGTGTTCTCTGGAGGTTCTGTTCTGATCTAAACCATGGCTAAAGTTTTGATGATATGTGATGATGTCAGTGGGCCAATTTTGGAAATTTGTAAGTTACACCTGTGTGTATGTGGGAGATTGCAAGAGACTGGACCAAGATTCACATTGACACTTTTACTGTAATTTGTTGACAGACCATGTCATTGCAATACACAAAGGAAAAGACAAAAAAAAAGAAGTAGAAATGTGAATGTTGAAGTGATGGAAAATGACATTGTCCCAAACTATCACGTACTTTGGCAATTCATCTCCAATCTGGCCCCTCTCTTGTTCAGGGAGGAGATCCCTGTAGGGAGTGTGTAAAAAGGCCCAATACAGTTTTTCTCAGTCGCTTTTCTTCGATAAAAAGTGCAATTCTTAATACTACTTGTACAAATCACAAATCATCTAGTCACTTGTGCACATCATTAAAACAATTTCTTATTCCTTTGAACCAATTTTTACTTATGCCCTTTGTGCATATTGCAATTGATAATTGAGTACAAATGTCCGTTTTTTTCCACATTTTCAATTGCTCATGTCATGTTGATCAAAATATAGTAGATGGTTCTCTGTTGAATAGTCATACCCCTCAAAACATCTAGGCATTAGTTCCTTGCATAAGCCATTGCATGCAAAATTGTTGAGCTGTTTGTCCTAAACTGTCAAGCATAGTTTTACACATTTCTGAAGGAATGTAAAGTGTTAGTTCAACCAATAATCAATATGTGGGCCGACAGACAGAGACAGCACTAGAACAGTGCTGCAGGCAAGTTGTGCCTTAGAGGTGTGTCCTGTAAACCATGATGTGGGCGTATGTGTGACACTGGTCAATAAGAACATAGTCAGTGTTGTACAGGATTTTACTTGAGAGTCTGTTTTCCTGTGTTTATACGGTTCAGTATAATCTTTGAAATCAAACCTTTCAGTGGCTCCATTTCCTTAGTGTGTGTGTGTGTGTCAAATTCTTATCTTCTAACCTCTCCCAATGAACCTAGACCATGGCCCAATAATAATTTGAATATCCTGCGGACACTACGCGGGTTACACTATGCAAAGATATAGTGGATTAATGGCGTCCTGAGCAGAGACTGAAGTCAAGCCCTCTGTGTGTGTTGCAGTGATGGATGTATGGAGGGAACTGGGTACAGCGGTGGAGGCGAGGCGCTGTGGATTCCTATGAAGGTTGCTCAGTCGCACATACAGCCAAAAATTGCCTAAATCTGTCGGGAATAAAATGACCAGGACATTTGATGTTTCCTTTAACCCCGCTTGTCCAGCTGCTTAGTCTCGGATAACTCACATGTATGGATTTTTTTAATACCTGGGCTATTAGTGTCAGGGATTGCGGGGAGGTAGGACTCAGACGCAGAGTTCAAAGCAAAGGGACTTTAATTGTCAAAAAGGTTAAAGCAAAAGTCCAAGGGGCAAAAACACACAGGAACCAGGGGAAAAACAGCAGGCAGGAAACAATGAAACTCAATGAAAGACAAGGACGCGACCAGTGACAACAGACATACATGGCTTAAATACACTAGGGAGGTGCAGGTGATTGGACACAGGTGGAAACTATTAGACGATCACAGGGGATGACATGACAAGGCAGGAAGTGAAGTTACCCGGGGACACGAAAACTACAAAATATAACATGAAGTGAACCACACCGTGACAATTAGTGGATTTCACAACTGAGGGACTAATGATTTAAATGAGGACTATTCAACCATTCAAAACA